CCTCAGTATGCATCTTTAATGTTATATAATTGGCTTTTTGCACACTTATATTATCTCTTAAACAGGTCTTATAATGAGCTGTTCTTCATCTAGAATACTCCAGAACTTAACCTGGAAGCAGCTCATCCCCTCTTTACATCTATTAACTTCTGCCATATTTCCCTCCCCTAAGTTTCAGAAGTTTGTGTAGAAAGTAGATCATCCTTGGTTGTCCAGAAGTGTTACTTGAAATAAGGGTCCATCTTTGCGCGTTATATTTCCCTCAGGTCATCTTGTTCGCATTGTCTTTGGATAAAGATTTTGGTTTCTGTGGCTTGTTTAAATTTCACCTGTTTAGATAGTTCTTATATCTTACCAAATAATTTAAGCCAACAACACTTCATGAATTCTCTGTTGATACCAGCAAAAGCAATGCAGTTGTATCCTCCTAATATGCTTTTATTCCATTTCTACTCTTACAACCTTCTGCAGCATGGATGAATGGCTTAGAAGTCTGTTCAGTCGAAGCTGATCTTGCTCGAGCTTCCTTGATTCTATCTGTTGGAATCTCTACCCGGTACGTTTACGCCACCTACAAAAAGACACCTGCAACTACAAGTGAAGCTGAAGCGTGGGAAGCAGCAAAGAAGGCCTGTGGAGGCTTGCATTTTATTGCCATTCAAGATGATCTAGATTCAGAAGACTGTGCTGGATTTTGGCTCCTATTAGATTTGCCACCTCCGCCTGTATAACATTCGCTTAAGCAATATACAATGTACTCGTACAAATTTTTGGCAGTATAATGTTTTTTGGACCCCGATGCTGAAATGAAAGAGATTTTAGGGAATTTTTACAGCAATGCATTCATTAACTTGATGAAAGGGTAAAATAAGGAGAAGTTTTTGGATAGAAATAGAAGAGAACTTGTTTGGTTTTTTTTTCCCCCTTTATTCATGTAAGAGAAGCTTTTACCATTGAGCAAGCTGAAGCTTGGGAAGGAGCAATGAAGGATTGTAGAGGCTTGCATTTTCTTGGCACTAAAAATGATTGGATTTTGAAGACTCTAGATTGAAGCATCGATTGAAGTAATCCAAAGACATCAAGTTGTAATCAGGAAACGTATTTGAAAGCTTTAATGTTGAGAATTATATAGCAGAATGACATAATCCAAGGGCATCGGATTTTTATTAGAAAATGCATTCGAGGGCGCTTTGATGTTGAGAATTATAAAGCACCATAGATTGTAATACCCACAAGGGACATAAAACATAAATATACATGTATGTGAAAAACTAACATCATGAGTTTACAAATAGAGAAAGGATTAATCTATTCTAGATTAATAGTATATCATACGATAATGAGTTTTAATATATGACAATCAACAAAAAATTTATGTTATAAATTTTGCATGTGTGTCATGGATTCGCTCGTATTAGTGTCTATTGTATAGGAAAGGATTGGCAAAGAAAAAAAAGGTTACACATGTTATTCCAATAAACAAAAGTCTCTATGGATTAGGTGTTTTGGAAGTACTTTTATGAGTTGGAATTGCATATTTGAATTTTTTTACTGTAGATGTATGTTTGACTTATTTTTTGAGTTTTCAGAGTGTGTCACAAATATCGCTCCTCCTCTGAATTTGACCCCACATCACCATTGCTTTCTCTCCTGTCACGTGTTTCCTCCTCTTCTTCCGGTCACTTTCTCTTTTTCCCACCACTCTTCCCCTCACTCACTACTTCTTTCCTCCCTTATTCTCTCTATATTCCCCTGTTTTCTTACACCCCCATTCCCCTTTCCGATTTGGTTGCTATGTAGTCCTATGACAAGATCTTGGGGACAAGAGAAAGGAAAAGGGAGAAATTAGATGGGAGAAGAGAAGTAAGGAGGAAAAAGGTGGTAAAGGAGGGAAAGAGTGGTGGACGAAAACAAAGGAGAAATAGGAGGTGGTGAGAGAGGTGAAAGAAGGAAGACGAGATGGTTGGGAAGGCACGAGGAGGAAAGTGGAGGTGGTGGGAGAAGGAGGAGAAATAAGAGGAGGAAAGGACGGGAAAGAGGAGGATGGAGGTTGGAGGTGGGGGTGCTTTTGTAAAGTACATTTGAAGTCTTTTTGAGATATTTTTAAGATGCATTACTATAGACTTGTATTTGAAAAACTAATTAATCTATACAGACCCGAGAAAAAAATCCCTCTCTAGGATGAGAGCATCTCTCTCTAAGATGAGAGCGTGGCCTCCTCTTCAGTAGGAGTTAGGAAAACAACCCAAGAAACATAAACTCAATTCCCTCCAGCCCCTATCTCTGTAGTCATCAGTAGTTCATCCCATTCACAACCAAATCATCTCTTACTAAAATTTTTCCCTAAACTCTTTGATTTTAAAACCTTCTAATCTTTTATCATCTAGGCTTTGGATTTAGTGTGCAAACAGCTAACTCTAAAATTTGGTTTCCTTTTGGCAGGTCGGTACAGTAGCAAACTCATCGGGTGAGGAGTTCGAAATACCATTAAATATCTCACCATAATCATGGCTGATGAACTTGTGGAAGTGTTTGATAGATTTGATCTGTCCAACAAAGAAAGCTCAAGAATTATCCTTGATGGTGTTGATGAGGGCATAGGTAAGGAGAAATGTAGGAAAAGTCTCTTTGGTAGAATAATGGGAGAAAGAATTGCCAGTTTCACAGGATTGAAAAACTTTGTCAACCAAGTGTGGGTTTTCCAAGGAACACGGTGGCAGTTGAACTAGGGGCAAATCTGTTTCAATTCAACTTCTCCGATGTGATGGATATGGAAAAGGTGCTGAATGGAAGACCATACACAATTGACAACCAACTCCTCAACATCAAGTTGTGGGTAGAAGGCATAGATCGCCAAATGGAGGCGTTCCAATTGACACACATCTGGGTTCAACTATGGAACCTGCCAATACATTGGCTTACAAAGGAAATAGAGATAAAGATTGGTGGTACTTTTGAGGATTTGGAGGATATTATCATCCCAATGGGTGGCAGCAAGGAAGGGAGACACATGAAGCTGAAAGTAGTAGTTAACACTGGTTGTCCCCTTTTAAGGGGAACCGTGGTGAAATTAAATGGGCAGAGCATCTGGGTGGATTTTAGGTATGAAAAATGTCCGAATTTTTGCTATGGTTGCGGATTAATTGGGCACAGTGACAAATCTTGCAGTCTCAAATCAGGGACAACCAAGTGAAATTCCAAACCTCAATATGGGGCATGGATGAGAACTCAGACTAAAGGAGCGTCCCCAAAAAAGAGAACAAAGTACCGGTCAAATGTTCCTAGAGATCCAAAAGAGACGATGAACCTTGCTGCCCAGAGACTTCTGTTCGAAGGAGACTACATAATTAACCAGACAAAAGGTTTGGGCACCAATACACTTGACAATGGTGGACTGAAGGTAGTCAAACAAGAGCGGGAAGATGACACTGTCTTGTCAGGGAAAGAGAGGGAACGAAAGATCCAAAATCAATTTTCAAATTTGGCCGGGCGAAAAACAAGTCAAGTAAGCCCACTTCTAAAAACACAAAAAAAAAAAAAAACAAGAATAGGGTAGGAGGGCTCAGGGGGAAGTCAGAGGTAACATAAGTCCAGCCCCAATTTGTAGCCTGGTCCCAAAAAGTTCCCAAAACAAGGAGGATTTAAAATAGGACTCGGTGGAACATATGTATATTTTGGATGAAACCAACGAGAAGGAAGGAGAAAACACCTCTCTTATGAACTTAGTCCTAGAGCCATCAACAGCAAACCAAGGAGTAATCAGACAACAACCTTCGGTCAAAGAAATGGAAAGTAAAGGCAGAAGAAAGCAGATCAAGGTAGCTAGGAAAGATGGCAAAGGGCAACAAGGACAGGTGGTTAGAATACCTCTCTCAGATATTGACATGAACAGTGAAATTCCAACTGCAGTTGCAAAAAGAATATTATCAGAGGAGGAGGAAGAGGACAACCACATGCAAATTCATGGGGTCATGGCTAAGAGATGTAAACGGAAACAAGAGAGCGATAGTAAACCAGAATCTGAGGTCATGAAGGCCAGTCTAAATTGGTCTCCCAAGTTCACATGAAAGTTGCAGCGTGGAATTGTCGAGATTCAGGGAGCTCATTGACTATTCCCTGTCTTAAGGAGGTAATTCACCTCACTCCCTAATATTATCTTCATATGTGAAACAAAAAATCAAAAAAAATTTTTGAATGGTTTTAAAAGGAAAATAGGATATGAGGAGGTTTTAGTGGACCCTATTGGTAAAGCTGGAGGACTAGCAGTGTTTTGGAAAAATTCCACTAAGGTTGTTAATGTTTTATCTACCCCTTTTACCATTGAACTTCTTTTGAACGCTGACAATGAAGCTGGTAACTGGTGGTGCATTTTTGTTTATGCTAGTACTGACGATAAAATCAGGAAAAAGCAATGGGATATTTTGTGTAATAGGAACAAAATCTGGGGTAATAATAAAATTATAATTGGGAACTTTAATGATATCACTTCTAACGAAAAGAAATGGGGGGGCAGAGTACGCCCCAACTGGACCTTCTCTGACTTCAAAGATTTCATTAACAAAAATGAGTTGCTAGATGTTGGTTTTAAGGGCCTCCCATTGACTTGGAGTAACCTTTGGGAAGGGGAGGGCGAGATAAAACAGAGACTGGACAGAGCTCTTGCAAGTGTAGAATGGTGTGAAAAATTCAAAGATGCCAGGGTGATTCATATTGAGACTGAAGCATCTGATCACAATATCATCCTTTTGGAGACAGAGCCTAGGGTCAAGAAACCAAAAAGAAGATTTCATTTTGATCCCAGATGGCTCCAATACAAGGAAGTGGAAGGCCTAATCCAAGCGGCATGGGGTAAAAATCAAGTGGGGTCTAGGGGTTTTAGAATCAGCAGGAAGATTACGCAATGCAGAATGACCTTTTCAGCTTGGAGCAGATCGTTGAATTGACACAGCAAGAAAGAAATTAAAAGGATCAAAGAGGAGATACAAGCTACAAAACCAGGCATGGGAATAACAATAAACAAGCCATTAAACTGCTTAGGAAGCAGCTTTCTGATGCCTATAAGCAAGAGGAACTTTTTTGGAACCAAATGGCTTCAAAATGGGGACAAGAATACATCATATTTTCCTACTTGTGTGAGTGGCAGAAAGAAAAGGAACAGAATATCCAGACTTGAGAAGGAGCAGGGAGGGTGGTATACAACTGATGAGGAAATAGGGGAGGAAATTGCTCAATTCTACAACCAACTCTTCACATGTTCGAAGCCTTCAGAATTTGATGAGATATTAAATGGTAATCCTGGGACTATCACTGAACAGATGAATCTACAACTTACCAGACATGTAATTGAGAAGGAAATCAAAATTGCAGTGTTTTCCATGCACCCAAACGAATCCCCTGGCCCAGACGGTATGTCCCCTGTTTTCTTTCAAAGGTTTTGGAATATCATTAAAGTAGATGTAGTGGACACTATCCAAGGCTTCTTACACACTGGTTTCCTCTCTAAAGCTATCAATGAGACCCTGGTCACCCTTATTCCTAAAATAGACAATCCCCTCAATCTTGCTCACTTTAGGCCTATCAGTTTGTGAAATGTTTTTTACAAAATCATTTCCAAAATTCTGTGAACAGACTCAAACCCTTTCTTAACTCTTGCATTAGTTACTCCCAAGCAGCTTTTGTTCCAAATAGGCAAATATTTGACAATGTCATAGTAGCTCGCGAGTACATACACTAGCTGAAGTCAAAAAGAGAAGGGAGGGATTGATACATGGCTATTAAGTTTGATTTGTCCAAAGCCTATGATAGAGTCGAATGGAAATTTCTTTATGCCATTCTCAGTAAAATGGGGTTTGCCCTTTTGTGGATTAGATGGATGCATGCATGGCTGCCTTTCCTATGTGTCTTGCTCTTTCAATGTTAATGGTGTTAAGCGAGGGTATGTAAGTCCATCTAGAGGGATTAGGCAAAGAGATCCCCTTTCCCCGTACCTGTTTCTGCTCTGTGCTAAAGGGCTCTCTAACGTCCTAAATAATGCTGTCAGAAACAAACAAATCACAGGAGTCAAAATTGCAAGACAAAGCCCCTATGTTTTCCATCTATTTTTTGCTGACAATTCCCTTATTTTCTGTAAAGCTAATGGTGATGAAGCAGGACATATAAACGAAATTTTAGAGTGCTATGGAAAAGCGTCTGGGCAACAAGTTAACATTAACAAATCAGCAGTCTTTTTCAGCAAAAATACAAACGGTAGAGAGAAGGGGGAGGTGCTGCAGAAGCTAGGAGGAATCCAACAGGTTTCACAAAGGAAGTACTTGGGCTTACCTTTAGTTGTTGGAAAGTCCAAAAACAGTGTGTTCAGGTTCATTAAAGAAAATATGATGTCTAGGATCCAGAATTCGAAAGGTAAACTTTTGAGTAATGCAGGAAAGAGGTTCTACTCAAATCAGTAGCTCTTGCACTCCCATCCTATGCTATGTCAGTGTTCAGACTATCAAAGAGCCTGTGCAAAGAGTTAAGCGGGATGATGGCCAGATTTTGGTGGGGAAATGATCAAGGGGAAAAAAGAATGCATTGGAAGAAATGGACTGATTTGGCGGATAGGAAAGAGAATGGTGAACTTGGGTTTAGGGACTTACTTTGCTTTAATGAAGCATTGTTAGCCAAACAAGTATGGCGGCTTCTTACTTGCCCCAATTTGTTGGTGAGTAAAGTTATGAAAAGCAAGTACTTTTCTAAATCTAATATTTTCGAGTCCAAAGTAAAGGCTAGAGCTTCTTGGATTTGGCAAAGCTTGCATAGTTCATTAGAGATGCTAGAAAATGGGGTGTGGAAGCAAGTGGGGGATGGGACAACAGTGAAAATTTGGAAGGATAGATGGAGAGAATGCTCAAAGACTGGGAGAGTCTCCTCCCCAAAACCGAATGGCTGCCAACTGACCAAGGTTAGCAACTTGATTAAGGGAAAGTAATGAAACAAGGACATCATCCAAGCACTTTTCTCAAAGGAGGAAGCGGCGGTCATGCTAATTCCTCTAAGTGTATTCCAAAAAAAAGACAGATTCAAATGGAGATACGCAGCAAATGGTTACAACTCCACTAAATCTGGGTATGCTAGGGCCAAAGAGAGAATCAAGGAGATTAGAAAGACGAATAGGCCGCAAGTAAACTCCAGCACAAACAAAGAAAGATCCAAGGTCTGGAATCAATTGTAGGGACTGAACATCAAATACAAAATTAAACACTTCCTGTGGAAATGTCTCCATTGCATCCTTCCAACTAATGAGAAAATTTTTAGTAGGACGGGCAAGGGAGATCCTCTTTGCAAGGGCTGTGGGGAAGAACAAGAAACAACTGAACATGCTTTACTTCAGTGCAAGACTAGAGAGCTGGCATGGGCAACTTTTCTTATTTCATGGGACGGTATCAAAGATAATAAGTGGAACTTTTGGAAATGGTGGGAACAAATGCAGGAAGCCAGAGCAAGGAAATATGGACTAATTACTTAGAATATTAGCAAAAAAAAAAAAAAAAAGTCGGACACTTATTATTCTGACAAGAGTGTGGTATCAATCTATTGGTGCGGGGCGGACACCTGACACAAATTTTTTTTTTTTTAAAAGATGACAGGCTGCCGGGCTGCAAAAGTTTTTCTTTGATTGGCTGCCGGCTTTGTAGCCCGACAGCCAGTCTGCAAAAAGTAAAGTAAAAAATAAAAAAAAATAAAAAAACCTGACTCATATTCATAAATCAACAAAAAAGGAAAAGGCCGGTGGAATCATATTCATTGGCTGGCGGACTCATATTCATGACTTGTTCTCTTCGTCACCGATACAGAAATTAAGCAATTTTCACCAAAATGAGCAGCATGAAGATGTTGCTTTTTGAAAAAAAAAAAAAAAAAGAAGCTGCACGTTAGACACATAAGTCTTTGTTTCAGTTTTTCCACACTTCCATTTTTCATTATTTCTTTTTGGTCGCATGATAAAGGGGACTGACCTCAATATTTATTTTATTCTTTTCTTCTATTATGGGAAAGGATGGAGTTTCCAACTCTCATCCATTAACACCCTATGCCGCTTCATATATATCAAGCTTTCATGTTTGTGTTTATAAGAGAGGGAAGAGAGAATTAGAACGTTAATCCATGATCAAGAATTTAAATGAACAAATCGGTTGTCAATAAAAAAAATGGTTTCTAAAAGGGGGAAAAGAAAGAAAGAAAGAAAGAAAAGAAATCAGTTTATCAAAGAAAATTTCATGAATTTCACCCCTAACCCTGATTAAACTGAAACATCCATCTGAAATAACATGTCGGACCGAACTTTTGGCTATCTAATTAAGTGCTCTCTTTTTCTTTCTTTCTTTTTTCCTTTTGACTATATATTAAGAACTTAATTATAATGTAATATTTCTAAGTATATTAATTACTACTACTATATACTTATTGTGTTATATTTTGTAGCAAGCAAAATGATTGTGAGGCTCTGGTGTATTTGCACGGGATAAGTCAGAATTGATAAGGCAGCAAGCAGAAGCAGAAGAAGGCAGTCAGGGAGTGATAAATCATAAATGATAATTAGCTGCTTAGCTGAAAATGGATGGCTTGTTTTAGCTGGTAAATTTCTTCACACGCCAGACTTGCTCCCCTTGGAAACTTAATTATCATATAGATACCACTACTACTAACTAGTTACTAGAGTAAATTTTCACCAGACTAGAGTCCGCTCCTGAACACACGTTTCCTGAGATTCCGCCAGCCTTTTCCTTTTTGTCGACTTATGAATATGAGTCAGACCTTTTTTTTTAAACTTTTTGCAGACTGGCTGTCAGCCCAGCAGCCTGTCATCTTTTCAAAAAAAAAAAAATCTGTGTTAGGTGCCGGGTTGTAGATTACTATCACACCCCTGTCAGAAGCCTAAATATCCGACTTTTTTTTTTTGCCAATATTCTAAATAATTAACCGGAAAGATGGGACTAAACACATTGATGTCATAGCTAACTTCCTCTGCCAAATCTGGAAGGCAAGAAATGAGTGGAACTTTAACCAGGCACTGAAAGAGGGGCACCAGGTATCCAAAAAGCAATGGAGGAGTGGATGGAATATGATGAGGCAGGAAGAAATGCTAAGATGGCCAATGAAGAGGCTTCCCAGCCAGAAAACAGACATCGCATGTTAGTTGGACTGATGGAACAGCATAGCTCTATTATGTACACGAATGCAGGAATGAACCAGAACAAAGTGAAAGCAAGAGTGGGGATTATTGCTAAAGCTAACAATGGTAGGATTTTTGCAACATGGTCCATCTCGCATCTAGGAGCCAGAGATGCAGTAGAAATGGAGGCTATTGCCATTCGAACAACCTTGAGCAAAGCCTAGAGGAAAACATGACGTCCTTATTGATTCTCTCTGATTGCAAAGCTGTTGTGGATAGAATCTACAGGATGTCAAGGCCTAACCTCTCTGGATATGCTAATTGAAGACATCAGGCAACTGAGTCGATCCTTTTGAAAATGCTCCTTCTTTCACATTAGGAGAGAAATGAACCTGTGTATCCATGGGTTAGCTAAGTTAGCAATTAACTTGTTACAAGAAACTAGGTGGAAGCAATCCTTCCTTGTGTGGCTTAATAGAGAGGCCCACAATGACTTCCTAGCAGTTGCCAGTCTTTTGTAAATCTACTGTGCTGACTAATTTGTAATCCATTACATATATATAGAAGTTGACATTTGACATATATATATATATATACACACACACACAGACCCAAGCATATTACACTCTTAAAACTTGACAAGCGGCTTAAGATTAATCCTCTTTGAAAGTACTCTAACCTGTGATAGGCTGGGCAGGTCAAACTCAAGCCAAGAAAGCAATCCAATTAACAGTCGGGACAATCTGGGGCAATCTATTTTGGTGTGGAGAAGACTTCAATTCTTCAATAGGTAATTGTAGTTAGTGATCTTCACAATCTGGATGTGCTTCGGTGGCAGCATTCTAATAGGCACCAATCCAATTTGTTGGGAGAGGTTATTGAAGCATAGAGTAGATTAAGGGTGTAAATGAATCGAGTTCAATTCAACTACTTGTCAATTTTTTCTCAAAAAAAAAAGAAACCACTTGTAAATTTGTTCAGTCAAAACTTGAATTTGAGTTCGAGCACTGCAAATAGCTCGTGTCTAATACTGAATCGAGTTCAACCAAATCTCATACATATATAAATTGAAATTTTCACATGTATTAGTGTGAAATGTCTATTATATCCCTTATTTAAACTTGAACTTAATTGAACTGGATTAAGCTCGACTAAGTTTGATCAAGTTAGATCTAGTCGAATTCGCGTAAAACAAAATAAAATTGAGTTCAAATATTTTTACTCAAATAGTGCACTGTTCACTCAAGTCCTCTGGATTGCACCCAAATGGAGATTCACAGCGCGTCAATTTTCTACTTTAGCTTATGCATCATGATATAGTACTTACGCCGAATCTTAGAACAGATGCATCTTTGATCAAGATGATCTATGCCCCATTTGCTATGGATGTTCAAGAATGACATTTCACGCAATTCGAGATTGCTATAGATATTCTGGCTGCAATTCTGTGATTTATTGATTTTATCATGGTTAGATGGAATTTACAAATAGAATTTCGACTATGAGGGAGGAATGTGCCTATGGTGGTTTTAACCTATCATTCAGTAAGGGTGTTGATGCAATTATGTGTAACATTCTCTTAGACACATATGCTCTCCAGTGAAAATTTCATTGGGCTCCTAGATTGAAATTTTTTCAAGTTGTTTTGGGTTAAAAGTTATGTGGACAGATTTTTTTTTTATTTTTAAAAAGGATTAGTAGTAGTTCTTCAATTAACCCATGATAATTCGAACCTCTCAATTATAGATGAAATATCTTACCAATTAGACCGCGCTTTGATTGTCATTGTGGACAGGTTCGTTGTCAATAACTCAAGCATGAGAAGTGGTGCGGTGTTTTCCAAAATGATCTAAGACATAAATAACGCAATTTTTAGTTAACATCAGGCTAATACTTCTAATTTAATTGCAGAACTATGAGGTCTCCGTCAAGCCTTTTTGCTAGTTTAGAATTTAGGGTTTTGTTGAAATCGAATCCAACTCTAAAGTTAGTATCCATCGGATCAAATACATGTCTAAGGATTACAAGCTTTTCAACTTAGCATAAAAACATTAGAACTATTCAACCAGAGCTATTACTTTTTGTTCACTATTGACAAGAAAGTCAATAATTATGCTAATCTTTCTAGATAAATCTCTTCTATTGCAAACTTGATGGAGCCCTCTTATCACCGTTCAATAAGTGTGTGATGGGCCTAACGGCCTTTTGATAAAAAAAAAAAAAAAAAAGAGTTTTAAAAGCACTTTGTTTGTCTCCTTTGTAATTTTTGGAAAAAGAAAAGCACAAGAAATGTATCCAATATTATTTAAAGGTTTAATTGCAAAATAATACCCTCAACTATTTTTGGTTAGAACTACACTCTTCAAACTACTAATTACAGCAAATTTCTCGCAATATTGTTAAAATGAAAAAATATCGTAAAGTGGTGTGAGTTGGGGGATGGTTCTACATTAAGGGTCGCCGGAAATGATAACAGAGGCTTTATTAAAAAATTGTTTTAATTTCTATTTTTTTGGGCAATGCAATTTTTTTTTTTTTGGGAAAAGCCTTTGCCGCTTAGTGGCGAAGACGAGGCCGTTACTTTTTTTTTTTTTAAGGCATCGCCGCTCATAGCATAGTTCTTTAATAAGGAATCGCGGCATATTTCATATGCGGCAATTCCTTTTATTTTATATATTTTTTTCTAAAACATTACTAACCCTAAAATCATAATCCTAAACCCTAATATAAACCTTAACCGTGGAAGTCTAAAATTTAATTTACGTACAAAAATTGTGCTAATTTTATAAACGGTGATTAAGCATTCTGTTAAATGAACATAAAATTTGTCCAAGTCATCATTTTTTAAAATTTTTTGGTTTTAATATTAATTTAAATAACGATAAATAATGTAGCATTGAACGATAAATAGGTACAATAATTAGCACATGAACTTGAATGAAAATAAAACAGAAGGTTTGACAAGAAAAATTCTTAAAATCTGAATATCACCCCACCAACGCGCATCTTGCCTTTATCGTGTGGAGTGATAGAGCAATCATATTTCCAATGTATCCTTCCGTGTGGTAGATCTCGTCCCAATTGTAGCCGTGCGGACCTACAACAATATCACTCAATCCACCACCTTTTTCGGAGAGAACAATGATAGATAGTCTCTCTACAGGCAACAATGGCTACTTGAAGACGAAAGAGAAGATTTTTTTTGTCTTGGGGGGGGGTTTGATCTAGGATTGTGTAAGAGAGATAAAAATATTAGTCTGAAGTTCTGAAGTTGAGATTCTCGCTTGAGCGAACAAACCAATTATATAGAAAACTACCTACAAGATACAATTATTGTAAAATTATATTGATATAATTATTTTTTTATATCAATGATCTACAACTACTGCATTTAATTTTTTTTTTTCTAATGCCGCAAATCAACTTTGCGGCTTCTAAAAAAAAATTTCCCTTCCCGCAAATATAGTTTGCGGCTATTTGTGGACCATTGATCAACCGGATCAAGAATAAGATAAGAGTCCTCTGTGTCGCCTATCGCTTCTCCCACGTGCGTTCTACAAGCAAGGGCATCCATGCGAGTATGCATTCATTCTTCCCGTTCCCGTGTCCGCAAAGAGCAGAGGAATTGGTCAGTGTCCTGTTGATCCCTTGCACCAAGGCAGCTTTTTTAGAATTGGCTTATGGACCTGGCTCTCCGCCTGCGACCTGGAAAGAAGATCCACCTAGCGCAAGCAGGCAAGCTTGCGGAAACATAAATGCAACGTCGCAAATTTAGTTTACGAAGATGATTGTGAGGCCTTTGAAAAAAAAAAAAAAAAATTTCTTCGACGCCGCAGATGAAGCTTGCGGCGATCCTTGGGCTGTTGATCAAGTGCATCAACGGTCCACAAATTTTGGCATGTGTAGTATTATAAAATTAAAAATTCCTTCACTGCAAATTTTGAGTGCAGAAGTTGGATTATAAATTTTTTTCCTTCACCTTCAAATCATTACCGCTGATCATATATTAATCAACGGTCATTTGCGGGTTAAAAAAAAAAATTCTACCGAAAATTTTAACTTAAAGTATTTTGCAGCAGTTGAAAATAAAGGCAAAAATAGGTTGGAATTTTTTTTTTTGTTGCGCCTATATTGACATTTACTGCGACCCTTATATCATCCATACATCCTGTACAACACCACTTTTTGACAATTTTGAATTTTAACAATATTTTGAAAAATTTGCCACTAATTATAGCACTTAACTTTTTTTTTCCGGAAACCGAAAGAAAACACACACACGCACACAGTTAAATTACACTCGGAGTTAACGGATAAATCAGTCCAAAAACAATCTAAGAAGGACCACAAAGAATCCACAAAGAACCCAGTCAATTTAGTGACAAGGCCAATTATAGCACTTAACCATCTTAAACTATTAATACATGGTTTCTGCCAATTTTGGTGGCAAAGAGAAAAGCAGCGGCTAGGAGCAAGACAGGTTGTTTTGGTGGGGAGATAAGCCTGGTTGAAGAACAAAATTTGCACAAGTAAACAATCAGCTGGATCCCACTTGGACAAGGTGCCACGCTGTAATAAGCTAGGCCTCACTCAGTCACTTGTAAAAATGGTTTTATCTTACACAATGCTGCTCACTAACCCTTATAGAAAAGAAAGCATGAATTTTTTTTTTCTGGGTAAGAAAAGAATGAAAAATATGAATATGCATATTAACCGTTAAAAATTAATATTACAAAACAATGGAAGGCCAATAAAATAAAATGTAAGATGAGCTTTATAAAGGGTATATCTAATGACAGTGCCTAATTAAGATAAAATTTAGGTATTGAATGAGTGTTTCTTTGAACTGTATGTATACTAAATAAATTAATAAATTATTAATTTATCGATTAATTAATATCTCTTTAAATTAATAGAATTTGTGTGGTCACAAAGTTATTAATTTATAGGAATTTTATTGTAATTTGTATTAAGGGAACTACATAACATTCTTTAAATTGACAAATTATGAATTTCATTCAATAACTTCAAGGCTAATTAATCATTTAGCTATAAATATTGCTAACTATGATTTAGGGCTACAAACGAGTCGAGTTGAGTCGAGATTTGGTTTAATCGAGCCAAATCGAGTCAAGTTTTGGCTTAATCGAACCGATTCTTAACTTAATTTTATCAAGTTCGAACTCGAGTTCAACCTCGACGAGCTACCAATTTAAACCTTGAACTCGAAAAATAAAAAATAATTATTTTGATTTTTTAAAAAATAAATAAAATAATATTTTTTCTTAATAAATAATAAAATATTAAGGATATATATGTAATATTACTATTAAAATAAATAAAATAAATATAATATATATATATATATATATATACTCGACCTCGTGAGAGATCGAGTTTGATTTGGCCAATTCGAACTCGAATCGAACTTTGACTCGAGATACTCACAAGCAACTCGATTGTTCATTTTGCAGCCCTACTATGACTGCATTAAAAAAAAAAGGAAAGAAAAAAAGTGTCATACCGAGTAATGGTGCAAAAATATAGTACTAATGCGTACGTGCTTAAACTCAAAGATTATAACTCCTCCTTTGTCTTTTCTAAAAGTGGAACAATAAACAATCTTCACGTCAAAAGTCTTGCATGGATAATAGTATAATATCAAATGACATACTTGAATTCATGTTAAGAACAAGTAATGTTTTTTAACAGAGTAAGATTTAAGATGTGAACGGAATTTGAACCCAAAACTTCTAAATTCTGCAATCTTGAGATATGCAAAATTTTATTCTAATGTGTATCCATATCTAAGCCTGTTTGAACGTGCAATGCTTTTGTTAAAAAAAAAAAAAAAACTTTTAGGTGATAAAAGAGCATTTTGAAGTTTTTGATCAATAACATTAATCAAATTTGGAATAGAGCTTTTAGTGTCGTAAGTACATTTTGTACACCCCGCTCAAGATTGGTGCTTTTCCAATAACTTATACTTAAAAAAAAATAAAAATCTATCCCTTTTATCGTGAATTATGAACTAAATAAAGAGATAATTACATTTCAAAAATTTAAACTTACATGTTATTTAATTCAATAAGCACTTAGTATTTTATTTGTTGTATTTTACACATTACTCTAATGAATAGTCAAACAAATAGGAACAAAACTAATTTTCTTTTTCATCTTTTCTAATACAGAGCAAGAAAAAAACCAACACTCTCATTTGCTAATAAGAAGGGATGAAAAGACAAACAAATTAAAAGGGTAATAGGCCAAGGGGGTTAACTTGTCTTCTCCATCCCCATCCTCCTTCTCCATAGCAAAAAACAACTAACAACACCGCCTCTTTTCTTTGATCTCCTCCACCACCCCGTGCTTGCTCTTCCTCTTTATTTCCTCAAATTCTGCTCGTCTCCACCACCAAATCCTTACTCATGGACGTACTGGTGGTGGCCGACAACCCATTGGAGTCAATATCGGTCAACCATGCAAGCAACCCATTACAGTTTCCAATGGGACCTATATATAGTTCTCGTCCTTGCATAATAATAAGGTCGGGGGGATGGTTCATCTGGCTCTTTATTATCTTAATCAGGGCCTCCAACAACATGATCCTACGCGAACTCCTTTAGGTTGATCTGGTAGTCTTTTAGTTCTGGCTTTGAGCTACTGTCCAGGATCAACAATTGTAATGTCTATATTGCTATTATCGTTCTACGTGCTCTTTTAAGTGAAAGTTGGCTTTTCGTAATCAATTTGGTGAGTTACTAATGCTTATTTTGGTGTAGAAATGATTTGGTGTGACAGTTTTGGTGGATGGTCTTTTTGAGATTCTCATAGTTGTGATTTCAATGTGCAGAAAAGTGTTGGAGAAAGATCCTTCTACTTGTTTCGGTGGTTGTAGTGGCGGCCGGCTTAAGGTGGTGGCGCCGCCGTAGTGGCCTGCTTGAGGTGAATTCTTGCAGTTGCGATTTTAACGTGTAGATATAATTATTGGAGATTGGGTTGTGGGAGTAGAGCTACTTAGCCTTCTTTGTGTATCCTTTTATTAGTTTCGGTGGTAGTAGTGGCCGGCTTAAGGTGGTGGCGCCGCCATAGTGGCCACCTTAAGGTGGTGGCGCCGCCGTAAGGTGGTGGCCGCGGTGGCGATAGAAGAAAGTTAAAAAAAAAAAATGGCAGGGAAGGAAAAAAAAAAAGTAGAGAAAAATCTACAGGGCCTTCTAGGCAATAATACATTTCTTGTGGGGTTGGTGTGTAGTCCTTTTAGCAGAGATAACAAATTTGGAAATTATCCCAATTGAAACAATGTGGTAAGAATTTCTTACTCTAAGGTGGCAATAATATCTTCAATTGATAGTTTCAGGGAGTATAGTTCAAAGCAAAGGTAGTTGAAGGGAGTATTTTGCAATTAATCCTTATTTAAAAGTGGAATTATTCCATCATAATCATCATCAAACTGTTTTTTTTTTTCCCTAAAACTTTAGGGAATAATTTGATCCGCTCCCAAAAGTTGTGGACCAAAATTGTAAATTTTCCCCAAAAGAGGAGTATGTATTTGCAATTTTGCACAATTGCGCCTAAATCAAATAACTGCTCCTGCCCTATATATACTACTATATTTACCCAGCTCCCATTAGTTTCCACAGCTCTTCAAAATCAAAATCTCAATCGTGTCTTTTGTTTTTCTTCCAATTTTGTGTACAGTTTAAACTAATTATGGGCTCAGGTGAGATTATGGCACGCACTACACGCACTGAATATAGCTAATTACTCTTTTTTCTAGGGTTTTCGGATATAGCTTCTTCTTTAGCTAATTTTGATTTTTTTAAAAAAAAATTCCCATTTTTTTTTTTTTGTAATTTTTGTTTGATTGCAGATGCGGATATGGAGGATTATGGGTTTGAGTACTCAGACGAAGACCCAGAAGAGCAGGATGTTGATATTGAGAATCAATACTACAACTCTAAAGGTGTTCTTTTTTTCTTTTTCTTTTTTTTACTTATCTTTTTTTGAAGTATATATACGTGGAATTTGATTTTGTTGGCCTACCTGTTTGGGCTTTAGGTTTTAGGGTCTAGAAAAGCATTTTGAGGAGTAGAATGCATGGTACTTGTAGGTTTTCTTTCCCCTCTTTTTTTTCTGAGAAGAGTATTTTGTCTATCTTTAGAACCTTTTATATGGAGGACGAAGAAGTCGGAAAGGCAGATGAGAGTAGTAGTGATCGATATGAGATAATAGGTCCTATGTTTTCGTAAATGCCAGTTGAATGGATGCTAATAAGTGGCCAATTTGTTCACTGTCTTTTTACCTTTCGTGCCGGATTATATGGTTATGGAAATAGATCAGTTTAATTTCAGAAGGCGCATATCCAAAGTTTATTGCTTTATGATATTCACGACTATGAGGATAAATAATACGCATACAGTTATTAAGAAGTTTCTAGTTTATAGACAATTTTGATTCCATTGGTACAACTGCTCAAGTATTGGATGGACATATGCTGTTCTTTAGAACTTAAGGGCTGATAGAATGCGAATGTACTTGCTTAATTGTTGTCTTTTAGGATTTAGTTGCTACAGATATGGAGAAGTGAGGTTCTTAAGTTGGTGACATGTTGAAGAACTTATTTAGCCTGAATGGAACATAGGAGTTTGGTGAGTTACAAGTTCAAGTTCAAATTCAAAAAACTTGGAATTCTAGATGTAGAATATGACTTCAGCAGGAACTCTTTGGTATTTCGTTATCATACACTAATAGTATATAGATGGAGTTGGATTTCCAAGAACATGTTTGCTCCTGCATTATTATAGCTGTTGTTTCAGTATCTTTCTTGTGGCCGTGTCCTTGAATTTATTGGTTCTGTGTTGCTTCTGTTGCATTTTCAATTTTTCATTGAGCTATGTCAACAATTTCTGTGTACAGGCATGGTTGAGACAGATCCAGAAGCAGCGCTCGAGGGTTTTGCTGAAGTAGTCCGCATGGAACCTGAGAAAGCTGACTGGTGTGTAGCTTAGGATTAATTTTCTCTCAAACTAGGGTATTGCAACGTTTGTTGAAAAGTAAAGGATAAGTTTGACAAGGATAGGATATCTTGGCAATTTGCTCCTTAGTAATTCTTGCAGAGGGCCCTTTATCTCACCGGTTTATGTATTCTCTTGCACCTTATTCATGAAACCATTCTTTGTGCCTGTGACCTTAGAGATATTCTTTTTACTGATTTGATTTGGTTTATGTTATTTCCTGTGCATAGTTTGATACACATAATGCATGTTTGGCATGATTAATGACTTTGAAGATGCTTTTGTGATTTGCTAATCTATTGTTACCTGTTAATTCTTCATTTTGATATTGAGTAGTGCATATATAACAAGGAATATTGCACTGTGTTGAAGATTATGTATGGTCTTGGATCATTTATAATGATTTTGATACCAGGATTTTTCTATTGAAAAATATCAACCTTAACCAGTAATTGCTAAGTGTTGTGAGGAGAAGGTCCATTCAGATTGAAACCTCTTCATTTGTTGTTTGGTGCACGAGCAATGGAATGCATAATGATGTAGGGTATCAGGTTGCTTGGAAAGGTGTTAACTATGTTCCTTCTGTTTCTGATTTTGAACTGTGTGTATCGTTAAATGTCTAGTAAGGGACCATTACAAAGTCTTATTGCTTGAGGAAACTTCCAAGCTATCTGGCATGGAAGGAAGCAGGATAGTAGCTCTTCTTGTCTGATTAATTGTGAATTCACTCAATTAGTATATCCTTTCCTTAGTGCAACCAGCAACTCTTTTGCTGTATGTGGCTGCACATGCTGGACTCTGCTGCTTGTCATCAATCTGTAGTGGGAAATAGTCTTTTTAAAAATAAAAATTATAAATTTGGATTTTGAGTGCCCTTTTCTCATGTATAGATGGTGAGACGAGAGTTTTTTTTCATGCATTACATTATTGTTTTGTTATTTTTTTGATTTGCTGGCTCTTTTTTGTTTAACTTGTGATTGGTGTGACTAAGAAATTCTTTCCTATTTTCAGGGGATTCAAGGCATTAAAGCAAACTGTTAAGCTGTATTATAAACTGGGGAAGTACAAGGAAATGATGGATGCTTACCGAGACATGTTAACTTACATAAAATCAGCTGTAACACGAAATTACAGTGAAAAGTGTATAAATAATATTATGGATTTTGTGTCCGGATCTGCTAGTCAGAACTTCGGTCTTCTGCAGGAGTTCTATCAGACAACTTTGAAGGCACTTGAAGAGGCTAAGAATGAGGTCAGATGTCAATTTTTTTCCGAACATTGAGTGACTTCTGCTCTCAAGGATTTCCGGTAACTTTTTTGCTCTGCAGAGACTCTGGTTCAAGACAAACCTAAAGCTTTGTAAGATATGGTTTGATATGGGTGAATATGGCAGAATGAGTAAGGTATTTTTTTCATACCAGTTTTAGGTAATAAGTATATTCTTTTGGAATGTAAACATAATTCAATTGCCATGATTAGATTTTGAAGGAGCTTCACAAATCTTGTCAAAAAGATGATGGCTCAGATGATCAGAGAAAGGGAACTCAACTTTTGGAGGTGTATGCTATTGAAATTCAAATGTATACAGAGACCAAGAATAACAAGAAGCTGAAGGTTTGTTGTTCTTTACTTTTGTGCTATCTTTTATGAGTATAGATCGTGCTAAAACATTTTTCTGGATTTATCTGCATCTAGAGTGTTCTTTTCATATGAAATGTCTTTTTGGTCATCTTTCCTTAATTGTTTCCCGGGTACATAGTGGTAGATTTCTCAGAATCATTTAGGGTATCCATATGTTACTATCTTGAACGAAATCACTTTTTTTATAACATGTCAGCTAGATGTTTAAAGCTAATGAAATTGAGAAAGGCAGAGCATATAGTAGAGAAGAACAGGCCATGTTTCCAAGTATGCATGTGGTTATTTTGTGTGAAGTCTTGTTGAATTAATGAAGTGAAATGTCTTTTTTCTTTTATGTTCTGTTTCTCTTTTCTCTTATGTTTTATAGGCATTTTTAATGAATAATTAATTGCAGAGGAGTTGCAGAATGCTTTCATAAGCAATAAAGAAAAAGAAAATTCTTAAGTAACAGTTTTGGAGCCTATACCAGAATGGAAGTTCAAATTATTAGGTCTTCCCAGTGAGAAGCATTTATGTTAAACTACAATTGACCTGCACAGAAATTATTTATTGTCAAAAAATAAGGGATGCATATAAATTGGTTCTGAACTAAGTATTTAAAAGAATTGTGGCTAACTTGGTTATTGTTGAAAGATAAGGGATGTATATGGAGTCTAAGGTACTTGTGCTTTGCTTTTAAAGTTAAAAAAAAGTATACAACTATAGCAAAGTTGCTATTGGGATGTCCAACTTTGAAGATCAGGTTCCATGGTGGTGCAAGTTACCCCCAACTTTTTTCAAACATAGTTATCAACCGTCAATTGTCAAGAATCCTATTTGAAAGAGGCTGTGCTAAACTAGCCATGGGTCACTAAATTCATGATCTGAATCCGTAATTGATGATTTACTGTAATTGGCTCATTAACTGCGGGGAGGAAATCTTATTAATGAAGCATTGAAGAGACTAAGCAAAGTATTGCACCAATTTCTAAACCATACTTGATTTCGCACTCTTTCAACTGCAATTGCAATTTGGAAATCAGAATCAAGACAATAGCTAGAACATGGCATGTAATACCTGCATACACTTTGTGGAAGTTTCATCTGCTAGTAGTTAGTTAAACATATGCAAATTCTTCTTTATGGATCAACGTTGAAAATTAGCAAAGTTTGAGGGTCCAAATTGTTTGAAGGTGCTAACTTTGGAGGACAAAAGTGATATAGCCTTTGATGTTAGCTAATTGTTTTTTTCATGTTGTTAAATCATAAAGCCTAAGAATGTTTTCAAATTTTATTTCTTATCGAAATTTAAGACTGGACAGGTTCATCTGTTTTATGAGTGATTGCAAGATGGAAGTGAGGCTAGTTTCTGTTTCATGAGTCCTTGGACGGAAAGAGACTTAATGTCACCTATGGCCTGCAATTGTTGTCTTTTAATACTCGTCCTTTCAGCTTGTGGATGTCCACTTGATCCATAGGTGTCAATTTTGTAGAGAAGTTTCTTTATAACTAGTGATAAACACATTAAAGAGTGATCAGAAAATGGCCAAAGTGGAGGATATTTGATAGTTTTGGACCAGGAAATATTGAGATTGAGTTGTCGAATATCTGGTTCTTCGTAATCAATCTGTGGACATATGAGAATCATGTGAATATGTTTCGTTGCAGCAATTATACCAAAAGGCCCTGTCAATCAAGTCCGCAATACCTCATCCAGAATTATGGGGATTATTCGTGAATGTGGTGGGAAAATGCATATGGCAGAGCGGCAGTGGGAAGAGGCAGCTACTGACTTTTTTGAAGCTTTTAAGAACTATGATGAAGCAGGAAACCACAGGCGCATTCAATGCCTTAAGTATGTTTAGATACCCTGCTATGCTGATGACATTGTTGTGCATTTCACTTGTGATTTTTCGTGCCTGTCATTTCCTGTTCTTACACACACAGCTCTGGATGTCAATTCATACAGGTGGTTTAACAATTCATTCTTTTACGTTGTGCCACATTTTTAATATAATACATAAAGGACAAAGAAAAGGATCAGGGTTTTTTCCTCTTTTTCTTGCTATACATTGGCAGTAAACTCAAATTTAGTTAGTCCTGGCAACTGTTTGGGTCTGGAGATGAACTTGATAAAAAGATTGGAGAAATATTGTGATAACAGATTTATAGATCCAAATAATACCCAATTTTGATATATCAGTGGTCATGTATTTAAAATAGATTCTGTCAGACTACTCCTTCCAAACTGAAAGGCCCAGGTCCAGCAAACAATTAAAAACCCCTTTGTGTACTAAGCGCCTGGTGCTACACTGTTGCCCATAGCTGGTCTATATCTGTAAAATGTGTGCACAGACCATTTCGCACTGAACTATTAAATCAGAAACCATGCTATAATTTGCCTGAACTACTAAATCGTTTACACGTGTTGAATGTGAATGGCAGTAAGTCTGAGTTAGAGCATGAATATTATTGCTAATAGTAATTGCAAACAAATTTTTTGCATCAATAATGTGTTTTTCTTATCATTTTTTCTGTTGCAGATATTTGGTTCTTGCTAATATGCTGATGGAATCTCAGGTTAACCCGTTTGATGGTCAAGAAGCAAAACCGTAAGATCAATGAACTCTGTTCTAAATGTAATCTATGAACAACTCATCATCTTATGTGTTATTTGATGTCTATTACAATTTCTTAGGTATAAGAATGATCCAGAAATATTGGCTATGACCAACTTATTGCAGCATATCAAAGGAATGAAATATTGGAGTTTGAGAAGATTCTCAAGGTGAAACTATTTTTGCCATGTTTACATTATCTACTTCTCTGAGTGCTATGTTGTACATGCTTTTGTTATCTGATTATTTTATCTGGTATCTGATATTTTGCAGAGCAATAGGAGAACTATAATGGATGATCCTTTCATCCGAAACTACATTGAAGATCTTCTGAAGAATGTCAGAACCCAAGTCTTGCTAACAGCTCATCAACCTTATACAAGGATACGCATACCCTTCATATCAAAGGTGATAACCAGGGTTTTTTCGTTTCCTGCTAGTTCGAAAATTTTCTTCCATATGTTGGCTCACTGGTGATAATGACTGGCTTATTAGATCGAGATGAGATAATATTTTTAGGCGTGCAATGAAACTTATCCATGCAGTTTTTTGCTTGAAGGCACTTACACATGCATTTTTTGCATGTTCGGTTTCCATTGATCTGATGGTGAAAACTGGTATGCTTGACTCTGCTAGTTAGGGTGTTGGAAAAAGTGGCATTGTGCTTATGGATTTGAATAATGTTGTCATTTAGCTAACTGAATTTGTCTCAAAGAATTTCTTACTATTGACGGAATGCAATTGAATCTACTAAAACTTTAACACATTTTGCAACACTTGCGCTGAATGCGACATGCTTTTGTATTGTTCTTTCCAGAGCTTGTCATTTTGGTTTGACAATGCAAAAAGAGGGATTTCATTGAGATCACATTGTTTCCTGCTAACCTTTGCCAAGAAGCTTAATTGAATTTGTTGCATGCAGGAGCTTAACGTGCCAGAGAAGGATGTGAGGAGTTGTTGGTTTCCCTTATCCTGGATAATCGGATCCACGGGCATATTGATCAAGTGAATCGGCTTTTAGAGCGTGTGACAGGTTGAGTACTTCATGCTCTTCTTTTTAATTTTGGGAATGAATTTTCGTACAATTTCTCACACAAATTTTGTTGGTTATTGAAACGAAAACACAGTTCAAAGGGTATGAAGAAGTATGCTGCAATAGATAAATGGAACACACAGCTCAGAACTCTCTCTCAAACCATTTGCAACCGAGTATGTTGAGAGGCTTTTTCAAGTAAAAACGGTGGTAGGTTTTGTTTCATAGAGTTGGTGACAGATTTTGTTTCAGAGAGAGTTGGTGGCTTTCTCTGAAATGAAGTTTTTCCTGGAATTGTCATACTTTATCCAGTTGGTACCCTTTGGCCACTGTGCAAAAACTGAATGGAGTTTGGTATATACAAAAGACAATTTGTGGAGCTTTGGATATAATATTGCAAATATACAATTAAAACCTTGTCTCAGATGTTTTTTCTCCTCATTTACTCAGAAAAAAATAAAAAAGTGCTCATGAATGAGCAAGTATTACCATTTGCGTTATTATGTCTTAAACAGTTTCTGTTTTCAGTTCACCCAGTCAACCTGAAGAATGCTTTGCTTTTAAATATTGCATCGAAAATTGGGGTTAAATCAAAGAGTAAATCTTATATATATTAATGGTGTGTATACTATCACGGTTGGATATGTGACATATATGCAAAATTTGAGTTTTAAATTCAAATTCGAATTATGTGTCATGTATCCAATGGTGCAAGTGTATACAGTGTATCAGTGTATAGAGTGTATAGAAGATTGATCTTAAATCAAATGAAGGTGACCTAATTTCATGCATAGATATGTTAGATAACTATATGGAGCTAATTTAGCAATCCAGCAGTGTGGCTAAAGTTATTTCAAAATTACGTTGGTGTGTAAACAAAAACATTTCAGTAATAAATTTATAGGCGCTAGCAACCAAGTGTTAATATGAAAAAAGGGATAATTGCAGAAAACCTCCCTGAGGTTTCTAACAATCTCATTCACCTCTCATGACGTTTGCAATATATTAATTACCTCCCCTAAAACTAAGTAGGTAGTATCAAATCTAACTCAATTGGATAAACAATATAAAATATGTATCAGGAGAGAGAAAAAAAAACTTTATTCCACCTCTGCCCTTGAGATTGTCCTTAGTCACTTAATTTATGCTGAATGGTACACAGCCATATGACAAGAATGGAATTTTCATGAGGTGTATTTGAAACTGATGGGAAGGTTGCTATTACATTTTGGAAGCTAAAAGCCATCGGCTCTTTGTGCAACAGCTTCTAACGGTAAAAAGCAGTAGTACTCTTGCCTACTTCTCTACGCAACTGCAAAATGAAACTGCAACATATGACAATGCATCTTGTTGAGTGGTTGCTGAGCTAAAGTAAAAGAAAAAAAAAAAGAAGTTAAAAACTGAACCAACTATATTTCTTACCAAGGTAATCGATCACTGATGACTGTAGCTCTCATTATCACATCAATCATCAAAAGGGCATTTTTGTTTTGGTGCTCTTTCCCTAAACCGAAATTAGGAATTAATTTTGCATCCAAATTTTAGTTTAGTTAGTTAATCCTATGTATTACTGGCTTAACTAATTATGTCAAAATAAATTCGGAATATGTGATAAGTTATGAGGGTATTCCTATCAATTCACCAACGCTGATATCACAATTAGGGCCCAATAATCTGACAGGAAGGTAGCCGAAATTTTGTAAATCTTAGGGGAGGCGAGTGAAACTGTTAGAAACCTCAGGGAAGGTTTCTGAAATTATCCCATGAAAAAATTATCATTTCCCACGTGGATTAAATTGGATTATTGAAGGCTGGCTCAGGTCGAGGATAGACTGATCGATATAAATAAACTAGTCCAAAGGCGGTGAGCATTCGTGACCCGTGTTAATAGTGCGTTTGTGTGGTGATGTTTTTAATTTTTTTTTGTGTAATGTGGTGTATGAATTGACGCAGAAAAATATTTTGCAATATGTAAAATAATAGCGAGGTAGTTTGTTTTGATTGAATGAGGGTAATTGGAAAGAATTGTTGGTAGGTTATCATATAGAATGTGATTTAATGTTGAAGTAAAAAGATAGTGTATATATGTTGTATAGTTATGAAATTGGAGAATATGGGAATAGCATTAAATGTTGAAAGGCATAACTTTATAGTTATTTCATATTGTAGCAACTTTTACAAGTTCATTATCGAATATGTGCATTCGATACTCGTTCATGCCTAAGTGGGTAATTATGAGAGCATAGCATGGTCGAATAATATGGTATCATAGCATTTTTTGCATTCATAGGTTAAAAATTTATCTTCAACTTTGATGTCCCAACATTTGTGTTGGTAATAGAAGATGATTATATTGTTTTTGTTGGCAATATATTTGCTGTATCTTCTGGATGGAATTTGTGCAGTATAACATAAATGGCTAAAATAAATTTATGTGCAATTTTTTTGTATGTCTTTGGGTTAATATCTGTTTAAAACATTTGGCTTACTAAAATTTCCATGTCCATGGGCTTGATGACTACATAAAATGCAAAATTTATGAGGAAACTTTATCTTGTAGAAAGTGCCTGCAATTGTTAAATAAACAAATAAATGAGGAGTTGCATTGTTGAATTCTGTGGATATATTTTATTATTAATTATGTTACCATGTTGCTTTTGCATATGTGCTTTCAATAGGGATGATATTCCATTCATAAGCTAGTGTAGTGATTTGGGTTGAAAATTTGAATTCTAAATGTCATCACTCCAATGTGGAAAAAATTTATTAGTGAGTTTGGCTGTAGATTGCGATCATTAATGAATTTTTCCATCCAGAGTTTTGGGGATTTTCATCTAGTTTTAGAAACCATATCTTGTTTCCAACTTTGAAAATTGCTTTTCTTCTTATGTGTGGTTCCAAGTAATGTATAATTTTTGGTGGTATGACCTGCAATTAAGATCTAAATATGTGTTAAATGTGTTTCGGAGAAAAATTGATGTAATTAGGGAAATTTGATAAAATGGATACCAATGTATCATCGTCTGGATCATTATACTGCATCAAGAATGCATTGATTGGAAAAACTGTAATGGACATGTTGGGCTTGGAATATTAGTGCGATAAAATCCAAACCCAACACGACAAATAAAATAATAGTTAGTTATAAAGTAAGATTGGATATATTAGCTTTTTATTTGTTTTAAATAGTAACTGTACCTGAATGAAGATGAACTGGCGGATATAATTGTGTAAAAGAGGCAAAAAGATAGTATTTTTACAATATAATTAAAATACTCATGATTATAGTTGTGTAATAAATATAAAGTTAAAAGCTCAAGGCATACCCAGAACAAATGCTAAGAAGGGATCTAAATCTGGTAGAAACAATAGCTTTGTATGGATTAGGTAATTATTCCAAAAAAAATTTTCGTTTGTATTGTAAATACATTTTCCAATCCAACTTTTTATATTCCCAACCACCTTTTAATCTCACATACATCACATCACAAAAGTATTACAGTAATTATTCCAAATAATTATTTGGAATAATGCTCTATCTTCTTTGCTTTAGAGTTTTTTTTTTTGTCAATTGCCATCCCTACTCCTACTCCGACTCCGATGGGGATAGAATCACCACCAGATCAGACGGGTGCACTACACACCCGTCTAGATTTGAAGCAAAGCCACAAGAGTGGCATTTTGGTAGGATTGACTGAGTTATGGCCAAATTATAGAACTGCACCAGTGATAGAAAACCCTTAAGCTTTCCTTGCCTCCCACCCCACCAAAGCCTTAAGGGTTTGGTGCTGGCCACCAGCCCAAGAGCTGGTGGTTTCTTTGCTTTAGAGTTTAGCCAACACAACTTCTTCGGATTTTTTTTATGGATATATATATTTTTTATTTTCTTTATGAATACATATAAATGTCTATATAAGTTGAAACTCATTGTTCCATGTAGAATTTACATTACATGGTATATTTTGTAACCATCATTGGAATTACTTTTACAGTAATCAATTAAAGTAATTATTTGACTATCCATGCAAAGTATTCACCCCTTTTATATACTTTTATATATGTGCATGTGGTTCATAAATCAAACATTCGAAGAACCATTGGAATTACGAAATTAATTGAAAAAAATTAAAATATCGATAATAGGATAGAGTTTTTTTTTTTGAAAATGAGAAAGATGAATTCTAAGAATATAAAAGAAACCAGTAAATTATAGAAAATATAAAAGAAAAATTCGTGAGAAACAAAAAAAAGGGTAGAATAAAAAGGGAAATTTTTCAATAAACGACAGCAGAGATTGGCAGAAGCATGGTACGAAAAACCGGCCCATTCGTCTGGTCCACATAGGATAACAATAAGTAAACAAAAATGAGGGTAAAAAACCAATAAAATTACAAAGGAACCAAGCAACTAAAGCATACATGCTGAACTAAGGAAACAATGAATGGCATAACAAAAAAATAAGAGATACCCAAGCCTAAAGTAATACTCATAAATATGTACGTGGGCCATGTCTGTGGATCAGAAGATGCAAGAAAGACACAAATAAAAGAGAAACAAAGAACAAAAAAATTACAAAGAAATCACACAACTATACCATCGATCTTCCCATGTGCTGAGTAAAAGAGGAATAAGAAATGGCATAACCAAAAAATGAATAACCACTAAGGCTAATCCTAATCAACGAACAACTAGAAATGCAAGAGATTGATGCAAATGGACTGCAATACCCTCAACATTTCAACCAATACCGACATAATCGACGGAGACACACTTTTACTGTTCATTCACCTTTTTTTTTTTTCGGAAACGATAGCTGACTTTTTATAGATAATAAAACTGTACAATATTTGAGCAACTGCTCAACCAACTATACAAAGTGTACCATGACACTTAAGAAGAGTCAAAAATCCTCTCCTTATCCATAATTATGCTTAGAGCATAGTGGCTAAGATGATTATATAAAGTCATATAACTTGTATTCCTTACTTCAAAAGAACACATTTGAAACAGATTAGCTAAAGCATGAATATCTTCAACTAGCGTGGCAGTGTTTGGATTATCCCCTTTCCCAGCTTTTAGCAATGCAATAAACTGCTTGTTAGCATTAATAACTTTGATCCTTCGCCAACTCAGTTGCCTTGCTTTCATTAGTGCCAACCTCACTGCTCCAGCTTCATCTTGGATGTCCTTTTGCATGCTTCTGTTTACTAGAGCCTATTCAGCTCTAGTTTTCCCCCCTATCTGTTTGGCTACAATACCAATCCCCAGTTTGTGCCCCTCAGCTGATTTGTTTATAGTGATCTGGAGTTCCATCAGCTCTTCCTCTTCCCTTCCTGCCTCCCTTACTCTTTCACTTGCTTCATTTGTTTCTGATGTACTTTCTTTTTCCTTCCCTTTACCAACTTCCTCATACTCCAACCATTCTG